TGAAGGGATCATTATTGTCATTTCTTCTTTTTTAGTCCAAAACCATTCCAAGAGGCCAATAGGCCGGGTCTCCATTTAGGAAGCTTTTGGTGCTAATCTCATGTGCCCTTTTTTCCCCTCTTTTTTCTGTGTTTTTATTTCCTTCTCGTCTTTTTTTTCTGGGTAGCACAAACAGGTGGAGTAGACTCAGGCCAGAGTTCAGGATCAACAATGTCAAACCCTGAAGAGCAGAAGGGACTGGAGGTCAAGGTCAAGTTGGCAAAAGTCAGATGCCCCAAGAGCAGCGCACAAAGAGGGACAGAAAGATGGCCAAGGGGTATGAGCATAGGGTTGCAGAGGTGGGGAAGAGGCCCTCACCCTGTGCGAAAGCCAGTAGCATCAGAGGTCTGGGTCAGGGGTTCCAGGAGAGCACGAGGAAACTCACTAATAGGGAGCAAACTGCTCACTCTCAGTGGCCACCTGGGTGCGTGCAAGGAGAATGGGCTGTGCTGTCCGCTCAGCTCTGCTGTGCACTGGCTGCAGGGCTCAGGGGCTCTACTGCTCTTGGAGCCTCAGTTTCTTCACCTGTGAAATGAAGATCACAATCCTACCTCTGGGGGCTGGTGTGAAGACTAAATGACATGGCCACAGCCACTGGGTGGTGTCTGATGGTGCCCCTCTCCTGCAGCATCTGGGTCCCAATTTTACCCTTGCAGCTCCTCTCCTCCCTGCCCCAGGCTCCAGCCAGGAGACCCAGGGCCAAAGAAATGCAGTGGGCCCATGAGAGATAAGGTGTCGTCTGGGTCATCAACCATCGATGGTCTGTCTTCTCCCTGTCCCCAGGCTCTGGCATGTCCACGGAATTCCAGATTCTAGATTTCCCGGGATTTAGACCATCCCTGCCCAGATTTCCAGTCCCTTCCAGAACCTGCTCCAAATGGTGCTGGGAAAGAAGAAACTCATGCCTCCCTTTTCTTTGCAATTGTTCTGGAACTTCAGGGCAATCGGCAGGGATACTCATCCCTTGGTCCCTAGCCTCTCCCTGGGATCTCAGAACCTACTTGGGGGCACTGAAATTGCTGGACTATAGATACTTCTCCCAGGGGCATGTGCCTTCAGGAAGGTGAGGAGAAGTGGCCAGGCCGTGGCTGTCATTGAGACCTGCAGGGACACTTCCTGGCCAGGAGGCCTCTGGCACCTCTCTGGGCCCCAGTTTCCTCATCTGTGGGCTGCCTCCCAGAAGGGTGGCTATAGGACAAAATAAGATCACTTGAATACATGAAAGGGCTCTGTAAACTGCAAAGTGCCAGATACACGTTAACTCATGTCCTCCCAAGTTCACAACTCAAAGTGACTCCTGGGGGCCTAGAGAAGAGCCCTGCTTCATTGAGTCATATCACATGGTCACTCCCCCCTACCCCCCGCCCATAACTACCTTGTTTTCAGCTATGTCCCCTCTTCTCTCTAGGTAAAAGAGATTTTCAGTTGCTCTCTAATCCAGACCACATAACACATGCTCTGGGCCTTTCCTCAAGCGCGTGCTTCTGCCTAGAATGCCCTTTCCCTTTCTGCTGGGCAAACTCCTATGCCTCCTTCAAGATCCAGCGCCAATGACAGTTCCTCTGGGAAGCCTCCTCTCTGATACCATCTCCCCCAGGAGAAGAAGTGTCTGCTCACTGGGCTCCCACAGACCTGTATTTTAGAAATCTGTACTAGAACGGAACTGGCAAGAACAACTGAGTTGGCTTGCTGTGTACCTCCATGCCCCAGCACACAGTAGGTGCTTAGCCAGTGTGTTCACCCCTCCCACCGAGGACTGGTGCATCTCTGGCTCTCAGAACTCCACGCAGACCCACATCCCGGACTGTTCCCGAGCCTTCGGCCATGTGGCTGCAGCCCCTCATGTCCCCCCCAGGGAGAGGACCAGCCGAGGCAGCCTCTGCCTTCATGCTGCTGTGCCCTGCGTGCCGGGCTGTGTGGCCATGTAGGGGCAGTGGTCACGGCGGAGCCAACCACGAGCACTGAGGGCTCCTGTCGCTGTGGAGACAGGGCCTTGGGCCAGCCAGGCGCGGGCTGGCCAGTGAATGAATAAACGTGGCCCATTTTCTCTGCCTTTGTTCGGAGGCTCCCCGGGGCTTCCTGCTGTCAGCCCCAGCTGTGGGGAAGGCGGAATTTGCCTGATAGCGCTGAGCTGCCGCCTGGCAGCGCCAAGCCTGGCCCAGGCTACCCCACGCCAAGATTCATGCCCGGCTAACAAGCCCTACTTTGTTCCTGTGGGAAAGTCCAGCCTCTCAGGAAAGAGCCCTCTCTCTGGCCGGCCCCTGGTCTGGGGACTCGGTGATACACACAAAGGCTCCACCCGCTGGTGACTATTCACAGGCCCTAGTGTCCACCTCCGTGCCCGGCTAGAGGATGGCTCTGCTCCAGGAGGCAGAACCCCGGTGCATCCCTCTGTCCCCATGCATCTGGGAGGTCCGGGATGCAAACCGCCTGGCAGATGGTCTCCCCCACCTGCCTCGTCTCTGGTTGCAAAATGGGGGCCATATAAGGGGGTGTGGGCCTGGGCTGGGGAGCAGCATGGACAGAGCTCAGCTGGCGAGTGCCTGAGGCCTCGGGAAGCCAGCCTCTCCCCGACCCTGGAGGTGAGGCCCAGCGGATTTGCAGGAGTGTCTGCAAATACACTCCAAGTCTGGGGTGGGGTTGAGTCCTGATTACACCACTGTCCAGACAGGTGGCCTTGGACTCATCGCGGCACCTCATCAGCCTCAGGACAAGGATTTAGGCCTGGCTGCCTCATTGGTGTCTTGGTGATCACTAGTATGGACAGTGACAAAGAGTAACTTTATTGAGCACTGGTCCTATGCCGGACTCTTAGTCAAGGGCGTCCTATGGGTCTTGTTGGGAAGGTTCTCATGATGAGAATTCATGAGCTCAGACGTCCACAGGGAACAACAGGCAGGTAACGTGAAGGAACAATACAGCCTGGGGAAGGCACTGTAGGCGTTCGGGGATCCTTGTCCCCCCTAGCAGGTCCCTAGTGACTCAGCCCCAGCAATCACTACAGTGTGGGAAGGCAGGTCCTGCCTTGCCAGATCTTCTGATTGTTTTTAAAGGAAGTTGGACATCTGGATTTTAATGTGAAATTTCCCAATTTATAAAAACACAAAACTAAGCAATATATCATTTATATCTAAAGTGACACTATATAAAGCCTGAGGATGATAAACATAAAATTCAGCATAATGGTTACCTCTTGGGGACAGATGGGGAGGGATTGGAGGGGACCCAGGGTCTCAGCAGTCTTGGGGTTGGTCTATTTCTCACCTGGGAGGTGGGTACATGGATATATGTTACATAATTCTTTAGGCTCATATGTACATTATATATTCCTCTTTGGAATACATGACATGGACTCCACAAGAAATTATTTAAAACATCTGGAGACCAGATAAAATCTTCTTGCAGGCCGCATCTAGTCCCTATGCCACCTACTTGTGACATCTCCCCAGTGGCTTAGGTAGGAAACGTGGGCTCCAGGGGTCTAGGCCACTTGACCAAGGCCACACAGCTCTCACCGACTGCTGTCATTTGGTCCTCCCAGAAGCAAAGCCTGAGACAAATGTTCAAGGGCAAGTAACCCCAGAGAACACAGCTGGAGAGTGGGGCACGAAGGCAAGAAAAGGAGGCCAATGAAAGGTGTGTTACGAGCAAGAGCAGGGCCCTGTGGGCAACTGGAGCTCAGCCCAGCCGGGCATGTCTTGGAGACCATGTGGAACATGCACCTCCAGGTTTTCCTGCCTGACGGATGAGGGAGCTGGGGTGTTCATACCCCATTCCCACTGGCCATCAGTTCAGGCTGCTCCCAGGAGGTGTTAATTCCCTAGCATTTCTGGCCTGCTGTTTCCAAGGGCAGAGTAGCTGTGGGCCAGAGAGAGCCCTCGAGAAATGGATGCAGGACTGGCTGGTAGGAGTCAGGCGGGTGTGCACTAAAGGGTCAGGGTTGCAGCATCTGCCATGGTGCTTGAGCCAGGTTTGAAGCCCACGTGGCTGGGCTTCCCACACTATGATGACACTTGCTTGCTCCAATTTGCTTGCCTGAGTAGCTCCCACGGCTACTGAACACAACTCTCATGGGTAGGGGTGACGGGGGGGGGGGGTCTAGGCAGTTGGGTTTTCCACACAGGGCCACATAATCCTGAAACACACAGAAGTTCAAGAGCCATTGGCCTAG